TGTATAGTATTCCATTGAATAAAATAACCCACGATTTATTTATTTATTTTTTATTTCTACTCTTAATGGGCATCTTGATTGTTATTTGGGATGAAAAATTCATATGCAGAGTTAGAGTTCATTATGCTTTTTTAACCAATGCATAATATGTATTTTAGGAGTTTTTCTTGATATGCTATCAGACCTTTTTTAAAAGAAAAAAGTAGAGAATTACATAGAGGGCGGTAGAAGGACAGAGAGGGAAGGAACTAACATTTATTACCACCATGTATTTGGACATTGTGGTAGCAGTGTTGTTGTTTTTTAAATTGTGGTAAAAACATAAAATTTATTATCTTAACCATTTTCAAATGTACAGTTCAGTAGTGTTAAGTATATTCACGTCGCTGTAAAACAGATCTCCAGAACTTTTGTATCTTGTAAAACTAAAACGCTATACCCATTAAACAACACATCTCCCTTTTCCCCCTACTCCTTAGCCCCTGGTAACCAATTCTACTTTCTGCGTCTGTAAATTTGGCAACTCCTAAGTACCTCCTATAAGTGGAGTCAATACAGTATTTGTCTTTTAGTGACTTGTTTCACTGTGCTTATTTCAATTAACACAACGTTATTAAGGTTTATCTATGTTGTATTATATAACAGTATTTCTTTCCTTTTTAAGACTGAATAATATTTCACTGTATGTACTCACCATATTTTATTTATACAGTCATCTGTTAGTAGACATTTGGATTGCTTCCACCTCTTGGCTATTCTGAATAGTGCTTCTGTGAACATGGGTATGCATATATCTCTTCAAAACCATGCCTTCAGTTCTTTTGGATATATAACCAGAAGTGGTTTTTCTGGATCATATGGTAGTAATACTTTTAATTTTTTTAAGAACCTGCATGGTGTTTTCTGATACATTTGCACCATTTTACAATTTCACCAGCAGTGCACGAGCATTCCAATTTCTCCATATCCTCACCAACACTTATTTTGTTTCTTTTTTAAAGGACTCATCCTAATGGGTGTATGTGGTAGGAATTTTATATATAATCTCCTTTTTTAATCTTTACAAACCTGTTGCAAACTATAAGTAACAATTTTACATCCTAATGGGTGTATGTGGTAGGAATTTTATATATGATCTCCTTTTTTAATCTTTACAAACCTGTTGCAAAGTATAAGTAACAATTTTACAGAACCTGCATGGTGTTTTCTGATACATTTGCACCATTTATATCTTGACACTTAACAATTATATCTTGACACTAAATGTTTCCATAAGAGAAAAGTCAGGATTCCAGTCCTGGTGCTCCTGAATGTGACAATGGGCTTTTTAGTCTCAAAGTTCTTATAATCACAAAACCAACTGAATGAACTCTTTTGTTCTAAGCTACATGATTTACAAGAGATTAGAGGCTCTACAAGAATCCCTGACATTAAATATGAAATAACTTGGGGTTTAGAGCAAGGGTCTGTAAAGTGTGGTCTCCAGGGCAGTAGCATCAGCATTACTGGGAACTTGTTAGAAATGCAAATTTTCAGGTCCCATCCCAGACCTACTGAATCAGAAACTCAGGAAGTGGGGACAGCAACCTGCTTTAATTAGCCCTCTGGGTGATGCTGAGGCACGATCAGGTTTGAGCACTACTTACCTTAAATCACTAGACAAATATCTAAACTAATGTTTGATAACCTTTACATTATTGCCAAACAAGAAACTGACATGTTGAGCACTGAGGTTTCTAAGGCAACCCAATATGGTAAATCTGTGTTTTGTGCATTATATTCAAGTTTCAGAAAAAAGTGTTGAATTAGCCCAGTTGTAATTATGCTAGAACAGTAGGTCTCCATCCATTTAGAGATTCAGCCAGACTCCAATTTATCAATGTCACTCACGAACAAATGGCAACCTGGGAACAGATATCCTGACGAGGAAGGCCGCTCCCAGTTCAGCATTCATCTGTTCTCTACCAGGATTTTTATCCCCACCCACCTCCAAGTCCCCACTCTTTATCTTCCATTACAGTGGGTCTGGAGTGAGCCTTGTACTTAAGGGACTGAAATAAAAGGAGACAAAAGTGAAAACAAACATGCAACATCCATTCCTCCCATCAGTATCACAGGGTGCTTCCCTGGCACTACCATCAGCAGCCCATGGCCCCAGGTATCCTTGTCTAATTCCTCAGAGCCCTGGGAGGAAGAGAAAAGAACAGAGATTCACAGATTACACTTTTCTCACATGAATGGAGGAATCTGATTTTAGCCCTAGGATGAGAGCTATGGTCTATGCCTGTTGATTTGGCATGAGTATTGATAATAAAATACTCCCCAAATTACCTTGGCTTAAATAATAAAATTTACGCTACCAGAAATCTGCTCTCTTAGGTAGGCTTTTGCCTTTCCCTAAAGCTTCTAAGTGAAAATAAAGGCCTTTTGGAGGAACAGGAGTCTGTGAGACTATATTTAGTATAGCTGGAGGCCTCGAATGGGACAGAAGACAAAGGAATGAATTCCCAGGGCTCCTTGGAGGACAGATAATGTCTGAGAATGGGCTTGAACTACTCTATTGACAGAAATTATGGCCTCCAGTATTTCTCTGATATTCTGGAGTTTCCACTCCTGTTTCTCATCCATTCGCCCCTCTGCTCTGTCCTGTCAGAGCCACTTCTCTAGGTCACTGAGACAGGATTTAAGGTCAGCCCTGTTCCTATTATATATTTGGTGGGATGGCTAAGAAAATAGTGACTGTGTTACTTTGTAGGGCACAGCTTAAAAAAAAATTATTCAAATCTGCTTCAGGTGTTACTGGACACTCAAGACTAGAAACCATATTTAAACTGAAATAACATGCCAACTGAAGTTATCTGCACACAAGATGTTCCAATAATTAAGAACCTTAAAAATATTTTACCTTCATGTCCACTCTTTGCAAAGATACATAAACAAAATCAGCATTCCCCCTGCACTCCTTCAGCATATATATCGGTGTACTCTGACAATTGCAAAGCTGACCTAAATGATTGTGTAAATTAACCATGGTGTGCAAGAACTTTGATGTTTTCCTGTAGCGTACTGAATCATAAATGTTTTTTACTCCTCATCCAGAGACATGCCAATATTATGTTACAATGTCTGACACTTGGTTTTTCTTAAACATTAACTCTGTGATAAAATTTGATCAATAGTCAGCCTCATTTTCCCCACTTCCTGCCTAAATCAATATATGTGTCTCCTTTAAAGAAGGAAGAATGCACATAAAAGTTGATCCTATAGTTTTAACATATCTCAACCTAAAAGTAAGAACCAATCACCCACTTGAATGCCATTGATTTTGCTTCTTTGTCCTCTTGTGAATTAAATTACAGTGCTTCCACTTTCTAAGTAAACTTTTTATCATTGATTAATCCTCAGGGACTAATTGACTTACATTTACTAAAAGATCCAATATAATGATTTTCAGAATGTGTGAACTACAAGACTAGAAAATGGTGTACATGTGTAGAATATTTTTATGTATACAGAATATTAAATTATATATTTATTCTAATCTTACTATCCCCCAAAGGAACTCTAAGGTTCAGATCTCCAAAATAGAAGGTACATGAAAATCCCACTAATGGCATTTGTTTTTAGTGAAATGTTTCAAAATCCATACTGTAAGTGTTAGCTAGGACCATCTATGCAACAGCTGCTGTGTTTACATGAAGTCCTCAACGGCATGCACGTAACTTGCCATCCGCCGCAGTGAGAGCATTTCTCACCCAACCACAGTGTAGTATGTGCTTGCTTACCTCCCCAGGCTTATTCATGGATTCAGCTGGCACTAGACTTCCTACTCCTCTCTAAGCCTAGATGAAAACCAGAGAGATCAAGCAACTTTGCCTATACTTTTAGAGCAAGAAAATTAGTGAATGAAATTGGCCTTTTCATATTTATGCTTACAATTCTCCCAAAAAAGCATTAAAAGATCAACTCAATACTTTTACTTTTTCAGTAGCAACAAGCCTTAATATGTATTAATATACTACCAATATGGTAATAAAATAAAGTTATTAGTGACAATGAATTAGGGTGACTATATTTAGAAAACATGCTTGGAAATTCTTCTCATTCAGAGCATGTATTTTCAATATCTAAGCTTACTTCCCTCTATTAGAAAGGGGGGAAATTTAAGAAAATAAATTTAAAATAAATAACTGCTCTTTAAATGATATTATATACACAGTTACTTAGAGATGTTAGCACAATCTTATTTTTCTAACTCTTGCAATTGGAAATTAGGTGGTTATGAACTTGGGAAAATTAACATTCGGTTATAATAATAAAGATTAGTAAGTAAGGAGTATATATATTTAGTTCACTTATAAAACAGCTTCACCATCCAAAAGGAAGAAAAAAGTGAGTCGATGTACTTTATACAACATATATAATTATAATATGGTTTAAGGAAGTGCTTTTCAGACTTTAGTGAACGTGAGAATCACCTGAAGTGGTTTTTTAAATGCACACTCGTGGCTCCTCTCTCCAGAGATTCAAACCAGGAAGTCTAGGATGGAGCCCAGGAATATGCATGTTAAACATCCACCTTCACCCTCAGGTAACTCCTATAAAATTAGAATTCTGACCATTCTTTGAGAAACACCAAATTAAGATGTCAAATGCAGGTATTATTGCATCTGAACCCACAGACTCATTAGAAAAAAATGGCAATCTTAGACCATCTTTCGGATACTTTCTATTACTTTACTAGAGTATGAGGTTAGATAGCATTTTAAAAAGGCTGCTAATGGCAGTTAAGATTTATTCATTCCAGGCTCTATTTTTCTCATCTTGGTTATTAAGATTTGGCCTATAACTCAGACTTCATTGATGTTTAAAGGTCATATGGACTTCAAATTGTTTTTAACTTTCGGTTAATTTTTATTGTCTTTAACATTGCCATTTAATATTGTCTTAAAATAAAATGGAATCACATCACTTACTGTCTGTTTCTCTTTGTTTTCAAGGGAAGACGAGGAAAAACAGGTCCTCCAGGAAAACCAGGCCCCCCAGGACCACCTGTGAGTAATCAATAGGATGACTGTTTTTGTTTTTGTTTTTGAGAATCTCTATTTCTGTGTGTCTGTCTAAAGGGTTATTTTACTCCCTGGTCGATAATAATTTCCACCTTTCTACTGTTTAAAATGGTCATAATCCTTATACATCCCACCAGTACACAAATAAAGAAAGAAGGGTGGCTGATGGCTGTCCACACACCTCACCTGCATCTTCATTACACAGTAGGAAAAACTGTACTGCCTGAATGAGCACCCCAAGACAAGTCTCCAAATAAATGAATCTTGTTCTGAACCCACCTGAGTCCATCTCCTCAATTTTTTAACATCAAAGCTGGTAGTAAGTTAGATATCTGGGGAAGCATACCCATTTTTCTTGATACAACTGTTTTGTTAATAGAATTTCATAGACCATTGTTGCTAAAGATAGTTATAAAGATCTTCTAACCAATTAGTTGATCTTTTCTTTTACCTCAGGCTTCTAGAAATAGTATGCCATTTCTTGTGGTTCTACTGGCTCTTCAATACACTAGAGTCTGGTTTGTGTCCAAACTACTGCACTGACACTGCTCTGTCTATAGTCACCAGTAATCTCAGAAGTGTGAGACTCCCTGGGCACTTTTCAGGCTTCATCTTATCTCATTGCTGTATAGGAACTTACACTGTTGACTGCCCTCTCTTTGAAACTCTCTGTTCTCCTTAGTGACATTGATTTTTTTTTCTCCTACCTCTGAGGCCATCTATTTTGGTCTCCTTCATTAACAACATTCCTTCTTTCCCCAGCTATATGTTGCATGGATAAAGATTCTCAGTCTTTTATTTCAGCTTAGACATTCCTCTTGAGCTCCAGGCTTGTATATCCCACTGCCTGCTGAGCATCCCTCTATCTTCATCACTCAGCTCAGACATCACTTCTCCTACATAGCCTTTGCCAGGGCTCTCAGTATGTGTGGTGTCATCTTCCATGATCCTGTGTTATACCTCCTACAGATACAGCACATTGTTTTGTAACTGTTATTTTCCTTATCTGTCTGCCCACTGCACTGTGAATTTTTTTGACCTTCTGTTTTATCGTCATTGCCTAGGACAGTTTCTGGCATGAAGCATGTGGTTATTAATTATTTAGTGAATGAGTAAACAAAAATATATTTTGTAGATGAGAAAATGAAGACCAGCAAATAAGAGAACTTTTTAAAAACTAGAACCACCCTAAATCACCACTAGAGGGCTCCAGACCTAGCACCTTAGGGATCTAATAAGGTGTGGTCATGTGCCAAAATGAACATGACTGCAGTCTTGTTGTTGATTTCATATCAATAACAATTCCGTTAGTCAGGGAATTGTTCTATTAGCAATGTACTGGTGTCAATTGATATTGAGTAAGTGGAGAAAAAAAGAGGCATAAATCGGGTGTCCTGGAATTAAGTCTTTAAAGGAATAGGATTTGTTGATTTTTATTCCAAATTTTCTAGCAAAACAGAGAACACATTGTAGAGTTTTCAGTAATTGTCTTCTACAAAGAAGAAAAGCTGGCGAATGCTAACAGGCAAGATTAGACCTTTATATAGTTTTCTAAATGAACAATGCTGCTTTCTAGACAGGATAATTGTTGTCTCAAAGGAAGAATTTGAATGATGAAGGCCTTTATGACAAGCTTGCCAAATATCTAGAAGAGAAAAGGATTACACTAAATCCTGGAATGAGTTCTCAACTATAGATCAAATGTGTTGACTGGAGAATTTAGAAAATTAAGAAATATGCGACTATATGAAAGAATTTATAATATTCAGTTCCACAGGTTTCTGTTTATTGTCAGAATGTTTAGGAGAGAGAGGTAGTTATTTTATTTCAAATATTGGATTTAGAATTTAAACTCAGCTATGTGTCTGATGCACACTGGTCATTAAATCCTGAGTACACAGTATTTAAAAGTTGTTTATTATCTTTTGTAATATAATGAAATGCCAATTTCTTAGACTACAAAGATAAGGGGGAAAATCTATGCAAAAAAGAAAAGGTTTTTATTCATAGGTCAGCTTTCATTCAAAAAGAAAAAATATGAAACTATACCATCAGCTCATTTTATGTTTAGGAATTATGGTTTATGGAAAATCTTTGTCTTTTTGATTCTGGGATATCTCCTCTAGTTGACCAAAGTATCTTTTTTCTAATACAAATATTATTTTAAAAAAAAAACTTTATCTTGCAGTATGGTTTGTGTCAGCTTTTGGATTTTTTTTTAAAGTTGTTCACATGATTAGTTGAATTAATGATGTGCGTACCAACATGCTACAGAAAATGTCTATGAAACACCTACTCATATAATAGGAATTAGCTGAGGGAAGCATTGAAAAGGAAGGTAAAATAACTGGCTCCTCATATTTTTGTATGCCACCTTCATGTTTAACTTTTCTAAAATAATATACTTTAGCAAGAAGACTTATTTCCCAAATGTGAGAAATAAACATGATTCTTTGAAATTTGTCCTTTCAGAATCATATTAACTAATATTTTAAGACAATGAGTTCACAAAAATAAATTGTTCCTAATTAAAATTATTTGTTACACAAACATTTATTTAAGACCTGCTATGTGCCTAACACTGTGTTAGGAGCTGGGCTTTCAAAAATGAGTAAGATATTGTCCTTGTCCTCTAGGGAATCTAGTTTAGTTTACAGAAATGAACAGAGAAAGAGAATGTAGAAAGATGTTAGAGTGGTATCCTTTGGGAATTGACAATTGTAGCATAAAAATTGAGCCTTAGAAAAAAAAGGAAGTCCTGTCAGTTATGACAGTATGGCTGAACCTGGAGGACGTTATATTGAGTGAAATAATCCAGTCGCAGAAGGACAAATTCTGTATGATTCCACTTACATAAGATTTCTAAAATAGTCAAATTCATAGAAGCAGAGAACACAACGATAGTTGCCAGAGGCTGGGGGAAAGTAGAAATGGGGAGTTGTTATTCAACAGGTATAAAGTTTCAATTATGCAAGATTAATAAGTTCTGGATTTCCACTGTACAACATAGTGCCTATAGTTAATAATGTAATGTTACTTCAAAATTCGTTGAGGGTAGATCTCATGTTAGATGTTCTTACCATAAAAACAAACAAACAAACAAAAACTAAGGGACTTCAGGAAACTCTGGGAGGTATTAAATATGTCAGCTTACTTTCGGTGATGGTATCATGGGTGTTTGCATTTGTCCAAACTCATCAAATTGTACACATTCAATATGCACAGTTCTTTGTATATCAATTATACCTCAATAAAGCTGTTAAAAAAAAAAAAGAGTTGAGAAAGTTTATCTAGTGAAGTAAGTAGAGGAGAAGGAGACAGCAGGCCAAGTACTGCTGGCAGAAGAAAGAGCCTGAACAAAAGCATGGAGTGCTGAGCCTCTGGGGACAGGAGGGTAGCCCAGGCAGTTTTGAGACACAGAACTGACGAGTCAAGTTCAGGCAAGATTCTGACAAACCTCACATCAAAGCTCCATAAGCCATGCGGCAATATGACATTTGTGAAGACTTCTAAGTAGAGAACCCCATGTCCACATTTCATTATGTCACTCAAGTGGCACAATGGGGTTGGATTTTTGAGAGAATAAGCAGGATTCATGCAGCTATACTATTTACTACTTTTAACGTATCAGCAGAGTTTTTTGTTTGTTTTTTTTTTTTTTTTATCTATGTTAGGATGTTCCATGGAGCTACTTGTATGATTTTTTTTTTTTTTTTTACAATTTCTATCTAGCTCAGGAGACATCCCCCTTTACTTATGAACATTTTGAAGTCAAAATATTATTTTTTATTCATTTGTCTTTTTCAACAATGTAACTTATGTGGCATGAGCCCTACTTTACAGCAGGACGCTAGGTGTAAGAGAAAGAGGAAAAGTTTTGTTGGAGCTAACAGACTTCCAGTTGAGATTGGGAGATGGTGTGTGACTTACTCTAGTGGCTCGCATGCGAGATTCCTAAAGCACATGTTAGAACTTATTATGACAATTTGAAATATAAAAATATATTAATTTTATCTCTTATCAAACAACAATGAAATCATCAGTACTATCCCTCAAATGAGTGAATGGTATATAATTTTAGCATGTGTGTTTAGGCGGGTTAGTCTTTAGAAAAGCTAGGGGCGGGAGAACCTTTTATTTTGACCAGCAGGGATTATCTGATAAGAATCACAGGAGAACAAGCATTATCAGGAGGCAAGAATCCTTTGATAACAGCATCTTTTGCTCAGTTTCTTCAAGAAAATGTTCTTCCCTTTGGGGTTTTGGAGATGTTAAAGACAGTATTGTTATTTAGGGAGTGTCAGTGAGATTTTTTAGAAATAGAACTGAAAGAAGTCTCTAATGGCCTGAAGTAACTCATATAACTAAAACATTTTAACTAATCCCCCTACTTGTGATTCTTTATTCTGAAGCCAAATTTGTGTTTTCTCACTTTCTTAAAAAAAAACATTTGTACCAAAAAGATGAGTTGTTGACAAGGATTAATTTCCCTCAACTTTTCATTTAGTACATATATATTTGTGGAAGGACAACTTCTTTCTCCCTGAGAGAGTACATTTCCTAAGGAAAAAAAATTCTAATGTGAACTATTTACTAACAGTAGACCTATTGAACTGATGTTATTAAATTGTCTTTATGAATTAGTATTTCATCGAAGTCACTGCAGTTTAGCTCCTCATCTCCCTGTATTTCATAGCAATTTTTCTTCTCTTTGGGGAAGACTTAATTGAAATTTACATACATGTAATTTTCATATAATAAAATTATTCTTAATCAGAATGTTTGTAATTGAAGAACAATTAAACTGGTTAACAGAACTAGCCACAACCCTTTTAGATGAACATATATTTTTTATAAAATATTGGTCAGATTTTTTATTAACAAGCGGAGCTGATGTGACCTATACAAAGGAAAGAGCTCTCAAATGTCCCCAAATAACTTCTGCCATCTTGTTTTGAATGAATATTCTTTGTTGGAGGAAAACC